GCAATACGGGAACTGTAATGCAGTTATCCTTCGAAGTTCACACATCTCTGAATTTTGTGCTGCACTTGTCCAAACAAAAATGCACACAAAGTGTCCATTAAAAGGCATGCTTTGGTGAAAATAGCATTGAAAATAGCATTATATTAGGGAAAACGGCTTGCAAAAAGTGTGCATATTTGTCAGAACTGCAAAAAAACATACATTAGGAGAAATTTGCGCTAAAAAGCTCACCAATTTTCTCTAGGAATTATTATTATTATTATTATTATTATTATTATTATTATTATTATTATTATTGCAAATTGCTTCCAAAACGTGGAAAACTCAATTTAGGATTGGAGAAGTGAGAAAGTGAGAGAAACCAAAATTGACAGATTCATCTCTAATCCTTGTGGCCTACCTTGCCTTCAGAGCGGTAATTTTAAGAACAAAAGTTTGTACAGATGACAAGTTAAATTCTTTAGGGGAGCAAACTCGTATCTGACATAGTGTCCAGCTTCAATAATTATCTTAAGCACGTAATGTTATTTTATTCCATTTTATGTATTTTATTTTTTGTAACAGCTTCGGCTACACAAATAACTAATATTTTGTGGGGGAATGTGCTTGATTCCTATAGAGGGAAGGATGAGAGAGAGAGAGAGAGAGAGAGAGAGAGAGAGAGAGAGAGAGAGAGGTGTTTTTGTGTGGCTCAGTTTCTCCTCTTATTCTAGTTCAGACAGTCATGTTTTGTTTGTCTGCTCTTGGCTGCAGGGAGATTCTGGTGGGCCCCTGGTGTGTAATGGAAAACTGAGCGGCGTTGTGTCCTGGGGTGCCGGATGTGCCCAGAAAAACAAACCTGGCGTGTACACAACAGTGTGCAACTACCACTCCTGGATCCAAGAGGTGCTTGCCAACAACTAAGATACTTGAGGATTTTCTTCAAGGAAAAGGGGGTTCCTCATCTAGGGAAAAGGCCACATCTGATTATCTTCCCTGCAGCAAAACAAACCACCTGCGTAAAAGTGTGAAAGCTGGTGCCCCCAAAAACCTGTGGCGCCCATTATTGGGAATTGTAGCTTTGTGAGTACGCTAAGAATCTCTAAAGCGTGCCTTCTTTGGAGCTGTAGTTCCCAAGATTTAAAGCTGGGAGAAGTCTTCAACAGGTAGAAAACTGGAATGGACTTGATGAAAAGATCAGAAAGCAGGAAAGACTAAGAGGAGTTTGCACTACATTGCTGTGTTTAAAAATAAAACTTAGTATGGGCACCCTATCTCATTGTCAGGTTTATTTATTATGGTACTCATCATCACCAAAACTTTATTTCGGCCCAAAGACCAAACCAAAATTTGAGTCTTGTCTGAATTTATTTAAGGGGGAGGTTAAAAGGTCTAAACACGCAATCTAACCCTGAGGTTACCAAAGCATAGACAACAGTAGTTAGGCTGTCCCTGCCCAGAGAGGGGTGCAGCTGGGCCACCAGCTGAAGCTGATGGAAGGCACTCTTGGCCACTAAGGCCACCTGAGCCTCAAGCAACAGCAAAGGATCCAGGAGGACCCCCAAGCTATGAACCTGCTCCTTCAGAGGAAGTGTAACCCCATCAAGAGCAGGTGATCTCCCAGCTATCTGGTCTAGGGAACCACCCACCAACAGAGCCTGAGTCTTATCTGGATTGAGCTTCAGTTTGTTGGCTGTAATCCAGTCCATTACCAAGACAAGACACGGGTCCAACAGTAGGAGGTGTGCAATCCTTGTTGCTCAAGTTGTCACAGTAGACACATGGCATTCGGTAGCTAAAGCTGCTCCTACAAGACAAGGCTTCTTCGCCTGCAGCATCCCTGCATTTCTGGGGTGGTGTTTAAAGGCACAGGATCAGGCCAAGGAGAGAGGGGGAAGTGGCAATCAGCAGTTAAGGGTTCAGAGATATCTCCACAAACCGAACACCTTGAAGGGTGATGACGAAACCTGCTTCTCAGGATGAGGGGGGTGTGCACAATCAACTTCCTCTGACCAAGACAGGAGATGATCTTTACGGTAATTCCTGTGAGGGTGATGTCAGTTGCGTGCTCGGTGTTTTGTAACCACCTTTGAAGCTGTTGCAAGGCTGGAAGCTTCCACTTTGGGGGAGGTTTCCCTTTCTCCACCCGGCCTCTGATAAGACGAAGCAGGAGAAGAGACAGACTGAAGAAATTAGACTTTGTCTCTGGGATCTATCGTCTGTCTGTCTATCTGTCTATCATCTGTCATCTATCTATATCAGGGGTCAGCAACCTTTTTCAGCCGTGGGCTGGTCCATTGTTCCTCAGACCATGTGGGGGGCCAGACTATATTTGGGGGGGGGAATGAACAAATTCCTGTGCCACACAAATAACCCAGAGATGCATTTTAAATAAAAGGACACATTCTACTAATGTGAAAACACGCTGATTCCCAGACCGTCCACAGACCAGATTGAGAAGGCGATTGGGCCGAATCCGGCCCCCGGGCCTTAGGTTGCCTACCCCTGAACTATATTATATATCTATAAACCAATAAATGATACTAAATATTGATTTCCACCATAACCAGGTTGAAGTAAGAGTAGCGAAATCACAGCTAAGGAGCTCAAATCGTCTATCTAACGCAGTGTTTCCCAACCTTTTTTGGGCAAAGGCACACTTGTTTCATGAAAAAAATATCGAGGCACACCACCATTACAGCCCCGTGACATCAGCGCGCAGCGTCACGCCGGGAGGGACGCACGAAAGTGTAAGTTTCAATTTTTTCCCCTCCCCCTTGCCTTCCTTCTGTGCCAACCGCCAAAAAGCCAAGAAAAAAGCCAAGACTTTAGGGCAGCAGGTCGACACGGAAGAAGCTCCTACCTAAGGACAGGTGCGACGGCCGTGTCCTCTTCTGCCACACTTGGCAGCCCTGCCTCACGGTCGTGACTCCCACCCTGATTTCTCCCCGCAGTCTGTCCCCCGACCTCTTCTGAAGGCTGGGGGGGGACAAGGGCTTTTCTTCTCACCCCCAGCATTTTAAAAAACCCCGGGACAGCGGAGGACTTCTCCGCTGTCCGGGGCAATCTTAAAATGCTGGCGGGCGGCATTTTAAAATCGCCCGGGACAGCGGAGGACTTCTCCGCTGTCCGGGGCGATTTAAAAGCCCCTGGGAAGGCAGGCAGGGGGGACAAAGATTTTCGCCCCCCGCCCGCCTTCAGAAGAGGTCCTGGACCTCTTCTGAAGGCGGGCGGGGGCGAAAGCCTTTGCTCCCCCTGCCTGCCTTCCCGGGAGAGCGGAGAAAGGCAGCGCGTTTCTCCGCTGTCCCGGACGGCTTTTGAAGGCAGGCTTTTGAAAGCCGTCCGGGACAGTGGAGAAACGCAGCGCGCCCTTGCCGCTGCCCCCCGACTTGGCTGGAAGGCTGGCGGGGGGAGAAGCCTGCTCCTTCCCGTCGCCAGCCCCGCAAACTCGGGGGACAGCGGGAGAGGCACAGCGCGCCATCCCGCTGTCCCCCGACTTGGCTGGAAGGCTGGCGGGGGGGAGAAGCCTGCTCCTCCCCATCGCCAGCCCCGCAAACTCGGGGGACAGCGGGAGAGGCGCAGCGCGCCATCCCGCTGTCCCCCGACTTGGCTGGAAGGCTGGCGGGGGGAGAAGCCTGCTCCTCCCCATCGCCAGCCCTGCAAACTCGGGGGACAGCGGGAGAGGCGCAGCGCGCCATCCCGCTGTCCCCCGACTTGGCTGGAAGGCTGGCGGGGGGAGAAGCCTGCTCCTCCCCATCGCCAGCCCTGCAAACTCGGGGGACAGCGGGAGAGGCGCAGCGCGCCATTCCGCTGTCCCCCGACTTGTCTAGAAGGCTGGCGGGGGGAGAAGCCTGCTCCTCCCCATCGCCAGCCCTGCAAACTCGGGGGACAGCGGGAGAGGCGCAGCGCGCCATTCCGCTGTCTCCCGACATGGTTTGGAGGCTGGCGGAGGGCTTCCTCCTCCCCCAGCCCCGCAAGCTCCCAGAGCGATGCCAAAGCTGCGCGCAGCTTCGGCATGGCTCTGGGTCCCGTTCTGGGGGAGGGGGAAGCTCGGGCTTCCCCCGCCCCAGCCCCACGCCTGGCGGTGGAGGAATAAATTTTTTCCCCTTTATTCCCCCCCCCCCGCCAATTTTTCCCGCGGCACACCAGGCAAAGTCTCGCGGCACAGTAGTGTGCCGCGGAACACCGGTTGGGAAACACTGATCTAACGGACAACCTTATTTGGAAATCAAACCCATGTCCAGACTTTAACATTCAAAAACTTTACTTGCAGAAACTTACAATAGATGAATGAAAACATCATATATACAGCCACATGCTTCTCCAAGCATGGGCTTACAGTCTCTTCTTCTAACTTCCAAACAACTGTATTTTCCTCCCTTCCCAGCACTTCCAGCCTTCAGTGTCTCAGTTGGGCCATGCTTCGCAGCTCCTATGAGAGTTTCCCACTTTTACTTTCTCCTGCAGCGTTGCTCACTTTCTTTCAAGTAGAAGCACCCCAGCACTCTGCTCCACGTAGCAGTGTTCACAGTGGATTCTAACACACAGTCCTCATGCTTCACATAAAAGAGTCTCTCCTTCATTGGATACCTCCCATGTGATCAATCACATGAGAACCACCAGAATTCCGTTATGAACCAAGCCAATTTAGACACTTAGCGAATGTATACAACAAGAATTTACAATTTCAGTGAATTAAATTGCTATACAGTGGTACCTCGGCTTAGGAACTTAATTCGTTCCGGAGCTCTGTTCTTAACCTGAAACTGTTCTTAACCTGAAGCACCACTTTAGCTAATGGGGCCTCCTGCTGCTGCTGTGCGATTTCTGTTCTCATCCTGAAGCAAAGTTTTTAACCCGAGGTACTATTTCTGGGTTAGCGGAGTCTGTAACCTGAAGCATATGTAACCCGAGGTACCACTGTACTTAACAAACCGTGATTTTTCTCTCTCTCCTGGGGTTCCAGTTCTTTGGGAAAGAGATCTGGTCCTCTGAATAAGCCTTCCTCTCGCCCCTAATGCTCACATCATGATGGAATAGTCTACGGGTCGGGTGATGGTGTGCTCTGTGGCTTGGCTGAATTCCCAGTCGGAGATGTTGCGCTGGCCGTTCCCTGTCCCGACAACGGAACAACATGGAAAGCTCTCTCTGGAACTTGACCCCCATGAGGGCATACACCAGTGGGTTGAGGCAGCAGTGGACCAGGCCCATGCTCTCTGTGAAAAGCAACCCAAAATCCAGAATCTTCTCCCGGGCGCAGTCTCGAGCCACGTGGCCCAGGCGCTGCAGGCTGTCCACGAAGATGAATCCATGGAAGGGCGCCCAGCAGAGGACGAAGAGAACCAGAATCACCAGCAGGATACGCACGGCCTGGTGCCTGCAGAAGATGCTGGCTTGGCGCAGGCGATGGAAGACACGGAAATAGCAGACCGCCATTACCAGGAGAGGCAAGAAGAAGCCGAAGAGGAAGGAGACCAAGCGCAGGCCCAACCGCCAAGACTCGGCTTGCCCGGCGTCGAATCTCAGGTGGCAGATGACGGCCCCGGCTTGCGGCGCGTAGGTCGCGGAACGGAAATGGAGGTCCACCACGGACAGGCCGAAGCAGGCGATCCACACGAGGGCGGAGAGGAGGTATGTGTGGGGAAGTTTCACGAGGTGGTGGAGCTGCATGGCGTGAATGATGACCAGGTAGCGTTCCACGCTGAGGCACGTCAGGAGGAAGATGGTGCTGTAGCTGTTCATGGTGGAAATGGCTCCCACGAGCTTGCAGGAGACTTCGCCGAACACCCAGCCCTGGGTGAACTGGACAGCGCGGAAAGGGAGAGTGAAGGTCAGCAGCAGATCCGCGACGGCCATCTGGAAGAGGTAGCAGTCTGCGAAGAGCCAAGGGCAAGGGCGCCGGCCCAAAATGGCCAGCACAAGGCCGTTGCCCACCAAGCCCACCACAAAGGCCACGGAGAAAACCGCTGGGCCAAAATAACGAGAGAAGGCGCCCACCTCATCTTGTGTACAGGGGGCTGTTCCGGGGTCGATTTCGGGGTAGCCTGTGGGGTACTAGGAAGGAGAGAGGGAGACAGTGAGCTGGGGAATCTCTGGGGATTCAACTCACCCGTCCTGAAGGAAATCTTCCAGCACAAATTCACGGCACGTTTTTTTTAATTCGGGACAAAGCCACTGGGTTTTGTAATTTTCAAAGGTTTGTAGGCAAATGCAGAAGCAGCAGCAGCTGATCTGTGGGTTGCATCTGGCGTCATCCCCCCACTAAAGGGGGTTTTCGTGGTCACTCAAGACATTCCCCACCGCCACCAAAAATGTGTCGCCATTTTTATTTCAGCTTTTAATAAAACTGTCTGCTCCTGAGAGTCCCCTACTATGGGGTCAAGAAGCCGAAAGCTTTTTGGGTGCCTCCGCCCAGCCCTCCACTGCGTCATACACATATAACACAAACAAAATGTTGATTAAAATAATGGCGACGTTTGCTGACCTAGACCCGTGATAGTGTGATACCAAAGAGCATTATATGCCCTCCCCAGTCCCATCAAAATGTGTCCATTAAACATTTTCATTTTTTCACAGACAGTGGGTCCCTGTTCTTGTAGTGTAAAAAGGTTTTGGGGGTCACCCTCCCAAATTTCAAATTTATTTATTTACCAAATTTGACTATGAATGAATTATAAAAATTCTGAGTTGGAATGTAAAGAAGAGAGGTTTTGTTTTGTTTTTGTCACCCCCCACCCCACATTTTAACTTCGACTTTATTTACCATATTTAACAATGAATGAATGAGGGGGGAGGGAAATCTGTCAAAGTGTTTGGGTCGCCGGTGAGAAAACCTTCTGGTAGCCTGCCTTGAGGACTCCACATTTTCTCACCAAGCCCCCCCCCCCCCAATTTAATGTGTGACACCCTCATCCCCACACGCAGGCCTCCCCACAGCAAAGGCACAGGATCCAATCCAAAATAGCCATGTCTGGAGTCCCACTAATAAGGGAGGACTTTAAGCAGGTGCTGAACGAATGGGTTCCAGCCTATAATTCACTGGTGAGAGGCAGAAGAGCCCTGGATGAAAAAAAGTTGGCAACCCTTCACAATTTGGGAAACAGCTTTCTTATTCCAAGCCAACCCCAGGTAAATGGGCGTCTGGAAGTGTGTGTATGTGAACATTGCTAACATTGCTCTCAGCCTGCTCTTAAAGGTGGCCAAGTGACAAACAGGACAGGGGCTCCTGTGCTTTTAATTGGCATGTTGTAGAAGAGGTGATTTTGACAGGGTGCCCTGAGCAACAAGCTATACCTGCCTCTTCTGCATCGCTATTAAAGGCGCAGGATGCTTGCCCTTTTTCTCAACTCCCCACCGGCTCACCCTAGCTTAAAGGCAGAGGAGCAGGGCCAGTTTTTAAAACCCCAAATGTTGGCAGAACAGGGAGCTATCCCAGTTGCTAGACGGAGCGAGAGTTACGTACCTCTATGTAATCGGAGTAATCTCCCCAGTCGTCCGACATGTTTGCTTCTGCTACCAAACCATTGCTTTGAGCCCTCAAGTTATGGGGTAAGCCTGGCCCTACTGCACCTTCCCCACATCTCCTCCCCCACCTCCAAATGTGGAAGTGGCCCAAGTCATAATTCCGGAGGAGACGCCAACGTTTGCTGCAGTGACGGAAAACAAGGTGAAACCCAAGAAACCCTCCCCCATTGCAAAAGCGTCCCAGATGGGGAAGTCAAGAAGCAGTGAGCCTGTTCTCCTGGGCCCTGTGCATTCAAAGGCAGCCTAACGCAAGGGTTTCCCTCCATTCAAAGGGCTACCTTTGAAGGTGACCGGGAAACTACAACTAATCCAGAATGCAGCAGCTAGACTGGTGACTGGGGGCAGCCACTGAGACCACCGGTCCTAAAAGACCTACATTGACTCCCAGTACGTTTCTGAGCACAATTCAAAGTGTTGGTGTTGACCTTTAAAGCCCTAAACGGCCTCAGCCCAGAAGAAGCGTCTCCACCCCCATTGTTCTGCCCGGACACTGAGGTCCAGCGCCGAGGGCCTTCTGGCGGTTCCATCACTGCGAGAAGCCAAGTTACAGGGAACCAGGCAGAGGGCCTTCTTGGTAGTGGCACCCACCCTGTGGAACACCCTCCCAATGGATGTCAAAGAGAAAAACAACTACCTGACATTTAGAAGACATCTGAAGGCAGCCCCGTTCAGGGAAGTTTTTAATGTGTGACATTTTAATGTATTTTTAATCTTTGTTGGAAGCAGCCCAGAGTGGCTGGGGAAGCCCAGCCAGATGTAAAGGTAAAGGTAAAGGTACCCCTGCCCATACGTGCCAGTCTTGACAGACTCTAGGGTTGTGCGCCCATCTCACTCAAGAGGCCGGGGGCCAGCGCTGTCCGCAGACACTTCCGGGTCACGTGGCCAGCGTGACAAGCTGCATCTGGCGAGCCAGCGCAGCACATGGAACGCCGTTTACCTTCCCGCTAGTAAGCGGTCCCTATTTATCTACTTGCACCCGGAGGTGCTTTCGAACTGCTAGGTTGGCAGGCGCTGGGACTGAGCAACGGGAGCGCACCCCGCCGCGGGGATTCGAACCGCCGACCTTTCGATCGGCAAGTCCTAGGCGCTGAGGCTTTAACCCACAGCACCACCCGCGTCCCTCCCAGCCAGATGGGCGGGGTACAAATAATAAATTATTATTATTATTATTGCTGAGTCTCCATAGAATCATAGAAATGTAGAGTCGAAATGCAGGAGTCTTAGCCAAAGCATCCAAGACAGATGGCCGTCCAACCTCTGCTTGAAAGCCTTCAAGGAAGGAGAGTCCACAATCTCCTGAGGGAGAGCTGTCAAACATCTCTTACTGCCAGAAAGTATTTTTCCGAATGTTTAGTCGAAATCTCCTTTCTTGTAGCTTGAAGCCATTGTTTCAAGTCCTACTCTCCGGAGCAGGAGAAAACAAGCTTGCTCCATCTTCCATGTGGCAGCCCTTGAGATATTTGAAGATGCTACAATATCTCCTCTCCGTCTCCTCCTATCCAGGCTAAATATATCCAGCTCCTTCAACCATTCCTCATCAGGCATGATTTCCAGACCCTTGATCATCTTGGCTGCCCTTCTCTGCCCACATTCCAACTTGTCAATATAGAGCCGTCTTAAGCACATCCGGCGCTGTGGCGCAAAGATCCCTCCAGCGCCCCCTCCCTTTCCCAGAATTTAGAATTCGAGGCCTAACTTGCGGACCACCTCACAGCCCAGGGAATCGCCACCCACAGAAGACATCGCCGATGTGGTGGCTGCGGCGCGGCTGGCCAGACCACCGGAACCCTGCGTTCGCTTGCAAAGCTCCGGGGCTCCTCCTCTGCTGCCTGCCAGTGACAGCCCGCTACCGGCATTATCGCTGCTGCCCAACGGCCTGAGGAGCAGAAGGCAGTTGCCATGCTGCCGCCTGTGCCCCGGGGAGTGGTGGTGGTGGGGCGGCGGGCACCAGTGACGCAGAGGAGGCGCCTCAGGAGCCGCTCCCGCTGCCACCGCTCCCGCCACTCTCTCAGACAACAGCGGCTCGGTGGGCAGCGACTGAGGGGATTCCCGCGGCCGAGGGAGAGGAGGTGGCGGCGGCGGAGGAGGAGCCATAGGCCTTAGTGGCTCGTTGCACCCCGCCAACCATCTGGCGGCATGCAGGGAAAGAGGAGGCCACTGGCAAAGCCCCACCTCGCTGGGGTGCCCCTGAGAGGCCGGTGCCCTGGCGCAATGAGCCACTAGGCCCTAAGGGGAAGACACCTCTGTGTCAATCTCCTTCTTAAATTGTGGTGCCCAGAACTGAACACAGTACTCCAGGTCTGGTTTGACCAAGGCGGAAGAGAGTGGTACTCTGACAATCCAAAGGGTATATAAGCATAGTTTGTTTTGTTTTTACTTTGCTTTGCTATTAGTATGGAAATTGGGAAAGTCGTGGAAGGGAAATTTTGGTCGACTTTAGGAAAAAATGTTTAAGAAAAAATAATGAGGTATAAATATTGATGTGTAAATTTGGATAAGTTAAAATTGGTTTTTAAAATGGTCTAAATTAAATGAAAATCAGGTTGGTAAATATAAATTGAGGAAATGGAAGAAAGAAGGAAAGTAAAATAAAAACATGTTAGAATAAATTAAATTAAGTTAAAATGGAGAAGTAAGTTAAGGATTTGCTGAGCTAATAATTTAAATTGGAATACAAGAAGGGGAGGTGTGAGGAGGTCTGAGAAACAAGTGAAAAGAAAATAAGTATTTGAACTTTCAGGTGTTTTTAATTGTTTTTAAGTTTTGGATCTTTGTATTTTTTTTGGTCTATTTTTGTTTTGTTTTATATGTTTTTTCCTCTTTTTTTTTTGAAAATGCTAATAAATATTCATTAAAAAAAATAGAGTGGTACTCTGACTTCTCTTGATTTGGACACTATGCAGCCTAGAACAGCAGAAAATATTTTCATAGAATCTTAGAGTTGGAAGGGACCCAGAGGTCATCTAGTCCAACCCCCTGCAATGCTGTGTTTCATGGCTAAACAGGGTCTATCAGGCCCTTGGGAATGCTTCCACAGGCCAGGCCCCCTCCTTACCCACACGCCCTCCCCTCAGGCCTGCTTTGCACCTTAATTTTTTTTGCCTGCCTGGAATGGTACAGTGGTTGGAGTATAGGACCAGGACCTGGGAGACCAGGGTTCAAATCTCCACTTGGCCACGAAGCTCAGCAGGTGACCTTGGGCCGCTCACTGCGTCTCAGCCTAACCTACCACACAGGGTTGTTGTGGGGAATTACTGTATTTTTCGGCCTATAGGATGCACCGGCCCATAGAGCGCACCTAGGTTTGGGGGGGGGATAAAGGGGGGGAATTATTTCCCCCCCAGGCCTGAGCTTCCCCCGACCCCAGCCCCCAGAACAGGCTGCTATCTGCTGGGCTCTCCAGGCTTGCTGATATCTGCCTGAAGCCCGGGGTGCGCTGCTCAGCACGCCCCAGGCTTTGGGATGCACGCTGCTATCCGCAAGCCTAGGGAGCCCGGCGGGAACTCCCGCCGGCTCCCCAGGCTTGCGGATATCTGCCCAAAGCCTGTATTTGCCCCACAGGACGCACACACATTTCCCCTTCATTTTTGGAGGGGAAAATGTGTGTCCTATAGGGTGAAAAATATGGTAAATGAGGAATGAGAGAACCATTTGGGGGAATGTTGGTGTATAAATGCAACAAACAAACAACAAATGCATCTTTGAAATGTGACTGCGCCTTTTGCTTGCCGGGGCAGAGAGGAGATGTTTGAGTGACAGGTGTCAAAACTAGCCTGCTGTGAAAAGGCGAAACCTTCCCTTCCCTGCTCTGCCTGCTTTTGCCTCCGGACACACTGGGCTGGTGGGTGAGATCCTGTTCCCCACCCGCATATTCCGCCTGAGTGTAAATCTTAGTTGATGTTTTGCTGCGCAATTTTCATGGTGTCTACGTGGAAATAAGTCCTATTGAATTTGGTGGGGCTGACTCCCAGGGAAGTGGGGTGAGTATTGCAGTCTATGACACTTAGAATAAACAATCATGGAGCTTTCCGGAGGCTGGGTTCACACACCCCGATTAAACACGTTTATTTGAACATCTAAAGAGTGCATACTGTACAGGTATTTATACATGTTGTGTGATCAACCCTTTTCTGGTACTTGGGTGTCTGTAGTTTTCAACATTGTCCACAAGGTGGCGCATGGACTTTCATTTGGATGGACTCCCTTTTAATTTGTTATCTGCTAGGACCACATTCACACATTTAAAGTGCTATGATACCACTTTGAAGAGTCGTGGCTTCCCCCAAAGAATTCTGGGAGCTGCAGGTACAGGCACTTACCCATGACATATTTTCTTTGTGAGCTGAGCTCTGGCAGATGAGATGTTCAGGCGCTCATGGAATTGACCTAAAAACCTTAGAAGATTCCTGCTGTGTCAGACCAAGTGCTCATCTAGCCTAGCATCATGCTTCTGACAGGGGACAGCTGGAAGCTGATGACCAGGGTGTGAAGGCATCAGTCTTCCCCACGTATTTGGCTCCAGCACCCGGTTCAACAGGCTCCCTTGGACATCCCATGGAAATATAACCAGGCTGGATCAGGCCAAAGGCCTATCTCAGAGCATCTTCCCAACATTTCTCCGATGAAAATAGGGACGTCTTATTCCATAATAGTTTTATTAGTTATACCCTGCCCATCTGACTGGGTTGCCCCAGCCACTCTGGGCAGCCTCCAAAATATAAAAGAGCATAATAAAGCATTAAACATTTAAAAACTTCCCTATACAGGGCTGCCTTCAGACGTCTTCTAAAGGTTGTATAGTTACTTATCTCCTTGGCTGCGGGGTCTCAAAACTCCGTGCCTTCCAAGATTTCTCTGATGAAAATAGGGACGTCCTAAGGAAAAGTGGGACATTCCGGGATCAAATCAGAAGCTGGGACGGCTTCTGTGAATTTGGGACCGTCCCTGGAAAACAGGGACACTTGGAGGGTCTTGCAT